TTTTTATTACGCAAGGGATATTTGTTATTAAAAATATATTCTTCACATAATTTTTAACATTTTCTTGAATAAAAAATTGTATACTTTTTCCTTCGAGAGTATTACATTTGAATGAAATAATGGATTTTAAAAATTCATTATTTTTTTTACAATTATCGCAAAATTCATTCATTGAAGATAGTAACGCAGAATTACTTAAATGTGTTAGACTGACATCCAATGTATCTTTTTTTTGTTGTTGAAGTCTCGTTACATCAATAATACACATTGCTAAATTATATTGACAAGGATTAACAACAAATTTGCCATAAATAAAAAATGAAATCATTCTAGATATGTAGCAACTTACATGTTGATAATTTATTTTAAAAATGTGTTTTGGATTTTCATTTTTAGCCCAATTATCATTTTTGAACACTTCTAAAATTTGAAGACATAAAAATATGTGAAAACACTCTAAAGACTCTAATTCTTTTTTTAATTTGTTTTAGCTTGATTTTTTTTTTTGTCTACACTCATAATCGTCTTTACAAGATATTGATAACATCTTCATGTCATATCGATTTATTTGCGAATGATTAATAAATTTTTGATTTTTCCCATAGACCAATGATTTGATATCATTATTAATAGTACTGACAACTCGTAAAAATGAATAGTCAAATATGGTGTCATAATCAGGTGGCTGAAATCAAATTGTAAATTATTGACAAAAAATATAATAATGATAATAAAAGAAGCAGTATAAAGTTTAATCTGAATCTAAAATGAGACTTGTGACTAAGTGATAGAAGTATCACAACTTAAGAGACATAATTCTTTTAACAGAATTAAGGAAGGGAAAGTAAATTAGACCCCTCTCTTTTCTTCAAAAATCTTGTTTACATTTTGTTATTATTAAGTTATTAAAAATAATTAAATTAACTTTATTAAACATTAAATCGTTGGTATCTGTTCATTAGGGTGGTCCTTATTTAAAATTAGTGATTTTTTTTTCAAACAAATTTGATGCCAAGTGATCGGAATTTTGTTCTATATAGCATACAAACAATATTAGTGAATTTTGAGTGTTCTAGGCCAACCCCTTCACGTGCTTCAAAGGGGTTGAATATTGACAAAAAGATGTAAGAATTTAGTTTTTTGTATATATCTTTTTAACTATTATAAATAGAAAAAATTCCACAGAATTTATTATGCAGTAACCAAAAATGTAAAGGAAAATGATCTTTACAAATTTTTTGTAATATTGATAGTTAAACGTTTATCTAATAAAAACTGTTTAATTTTATTATTCGTAAAAACATAGTATTTTTTGATTTTAACGTTTATCTCTATAAATATTGCAAATCCGAATATATAGTATCGACAAAAATATTTTTAAAAAGTTATGCATAAAAAAACAGTAATACCGTAATTTTTTGTAGTACTACAACTTCAGTGTAAAAATTTAAAAAATGATAAATGTTTCAATGTACTTCTTTAAAATCTGATTTTAAAACTTAAATTTATTGCGGTGAAACATTTTTTACTAAACTGGCTTTAGAGAATTCTTGATATTTTTTCTGTACTCTCAAATGACCTTTGTATTAAATAAATTATCAATTGAAAAACATAATAGAAAGTATAATGATAATTGAATTCTAAATTGAAAATTTTAATGAATACCATTTGAATAAAAACTTGATCTTTATATTTTAATAGTTTCTAGTTCCTTAATGTTTTTATAGGTTCATTTATGGTAAGCTTAATTTATATGATTACAGAATTTATGTATATTGATATTGATACTGTATTTTATGGAATTCTATTGAGCTCTTATCAATTTAGGATTCTTTAATTTGTTAAAAAACCTTATATATTAAAAAAACTGAACTAACTGTTGTTCATACTAACTTGAATTTCTGGATTAGCATTTGTATTGAAACATATTTGTGCTGATGTAAGTATGACGGATAAATATCTTAATAAGTTAAACGAATTAAAACGATTTTTGATCATTTTTTAACCTATCTAAAAATTATTAATTTATATTGAAGTCTAACAAAGTAAAATGTATAACAGTGTTGGCTTATACTGCCCGTTTAAAAAAAAATTGTATTAATTTTATTTTAAACATTTTTCAATTGATTAAATAATATATTAAACCTTAAATATATCTTACTTTATTTGACTATCGATAAATCATATATAAAGCTATTAAATTATTATATATTTAGATTATAACAAAACAAATAACCTAAATAAAATGTGTTATATATTTAAAGATATTTTTTAATTCAGTTTGCTTTATAGTATGAAGGGGTTGCATCAATTTTTCGCTTACAATAAAAAATGAAAATTCTCTAAAAATATCAAATTTTTTGCTACTATGTATACAGAACTAAGGTAAAAATTCGTCATACTTCCCAAAGATAGAAGTTTCCAGGAAACATAGCCTTCCGTAATGTGTTATAGAAACATTACTACATCTTAATACTATTAATATGATGTTTTTCTATTTTATATGCAACCCCAGCTTTGATGGTTAAGGACATTTATAATTGTGGTCTAATTTGATTATATTAAAGCATTAGGATCCATAACCACGTATTAAATCAAAATGAATCAAAATGAATCATATAATTTATTGTTTCTTATGCTCATTTAATAACACACAGAACAAAATAAATATCAACTAAATTACATAAGGTCGACGTAATAGATATAATTTAGCAACACAATTAGAAAATATTAACTTCATAAATATTTAAATTCAGATATTATAAGCGCACAAAATTTTAAGTTTCTATTCGTTGATAACTTTTTAAACATCTAGAATATAACCTTTTGTATTTTTTTAGAAATTTAAGATTTAAAAAAAAAAAAAAGAGAGAGATATCGCCTCCGCACAGTTTTATGCCTTCTAAACTACAAATAGGAAGTTTGTTTGTAGAGTATTAACAAAAGTAAAAAACTGACATATATTTTATAAATATTCTAAACAAATTAAATTATTTTTAAATTTCTTTTTCATTTTAAGAGTATAATTATCAACAAGATATATTGTTAATAAGTCGTTGTCATAAATGTTATTTTAATAATATATTTTGGATATGTTGAAAGTTGCAATCACCAAATTTTAGAGTAATGAAAACAAATTTCATTTTTGTATTGTCGAATAAATAGCGGAAAAGATATTTTATTTTCAAATAAAACAAATTCACCGTAACCTTGTATTATAAAAATTGACTCATTATGTCTTTCAAGCGATTGATTAATTTAGAATTGTAAAATTTTTTTTTGTTTTATTAGAAATATACAATCTGTACAATGAGAACAATAAGCATATATGATAAAAGTAGAAAAATTTACATGAATACATTTTGATGGAAGAAACCACTCATTAGAGACACTTCCCATGATTTTTTAAATTTTTATTTTTTAGAATTATTTATTTTTTATTTTATATTTCCAGTAACTTAATTATATTATTATTAATTGATATTAGTAAAAAGATCATGGCACCACTTACGTTTTAAACGTCTGGGTGGGCCACCAGGTATGACAAGGTTGAGTGGTTTTTTATTAAGGGATTAGAGTGGGAGAGTAATTTACTGTGGAATCTTTTATAGTAGGAGATGGCTTCTTCATGGACAGTTTTTAAGTTAAGGTCGTTATGAAGTGTATAATTAGAGATATAAGGAGGTGCATTGATTAGTTTTCTTAAGACAATATTCTGAAAACATTGAATATTATTGGTATTGGATTTTTTAGCATTGCCCCATAACTGAAGGCCGTAAGTCCATATGGGTTATAAAATGGATTTATAAATTTGAAGTTTAACATTAATGTTTGTAAATTTATTGTTTATGATTAATGATTTGAGTAACCACAGACGGCTATTTAAAGAAATATGTCTAAAAATACATTGATATAAATCTACTGTAATAATTATAAGAAATTCTTTAGTTGTGACAAATTATCTATTTTAAGTAAAATAATATGTAATAAATAACACAAATTGAGTAATAAACAGATAATAGTAAAAGGTCGTGACACTTCTTGCATAGATAGATGAATTAAATTTAATATAAAAGGGAATAAAAACTGTCAATCTCTCTCACTACTACTTCACCTAATGAACTTTCAACGAATGCAAGAAGTGGCTTGACAAAATACGATTTTACATAGAAAATTGAAGTATATTCATTTTTTCAACATTAGTCCTGATATCATTAAGGTAAATTCATATTCTACAAAAGATCCATAAGGTTTAAAGTAAATATAATGAGTACATAAATGAAGTAGGAAACCAGAAAAAGTAAAGTGATCTCTAGAATAAAATATTGTCTAAATAAATAAAGAGAATTAATAACGTTTTTACGAAATTAGCCAGCCTAGTCTAATCTTTGAATGGGTTACCTGTGTAGTCAATACTAATAAAGACTCTCTGCGAAGATAGTGAACCCACTTGTGGTTCCTATACTACTCGATGTTTTTATTGACTCAACTCACAGTCAGCACAAGCTTAGATAACTACTGGTACGAGTGGCGTTGTTGATGATCTATGTGTGATAATTAATCACAATAATTTCTATTTAAAATTATTATTATATTAATAAATTTTCAAACATCACTTTGCTTTTCTATATTTTACATCTTCTCATATCTTTGGCTCCAGGGAAAAAGGGCTTAAGTCAATTTTTGGCATTTTTTTTTTATAATTTTGTCATATGTAGTTTTTTTTACCCTTTTTTTTGGTCTAGATGGCATAAGTGTATGTGTATTCTAGCACATATTATAACAAAAATAAAAATATCCTAAATCACTTTGACGTTTAATTTGTTTAGCAAAAAAGGCGTAAGTCATTACTATGACTTAAGACATTTAGAACGTAAATAAATATATTTTTTTAACTGTCAAAATTGACTTATGTTGACTTAAGTCTTATGAATCAAGATTGATAAGCAAAATATTGTTACTGATAAACGTGATATCATTCTACGGTCGACATATACTAATTATAGTATTAACTGTTTATCTAGCATGTTTTGTGTGTACTTTATGTTAATTTTGAGTACTTTGTTTTTGGTTATTTTGTTTGTGTTCAGATTTTGGTGAGATAGTGTTATTTACAAGTTACAACGGTTGTTTCTTTAATTAAATAATTTATTATAAATATTCACTAGTAGGTAATTAAAATACACAAATAATAATAATATAATGAAGCGTCGTACGTTAAATATGGTTCAAATGGCTGAAAAAAATGAAACAATCTCCCATTCTAGTAAGAAGTGTAATAAGTTCTAGGAAACGAAATCAAAATTCTTTAAAAATAAGAAATGTCACTTATGAATATTATTTCAATCATGATGGAAGACCTAAAAAGTGCTGCAAAAAATGTTTTCTGACTACATTACATGAAAATGAGAAGTTTGTCCGTACAGCTATTGAAAATAAAAATTGTAGTCCACCTGGTATTACCAAGTTAGATGGTCGTGGAAAAAGATGTCCTGTTAACAAAACTACAGAAGAAGCAATTTTAAATGTTCAAAAACATATTTCAACATTCCCAACATATGAAAGTCACTATACTCGCCGTACTAATGATACAAAGTATTTACCATCACATTTAAATCTTACTTTGATGTACAAATTATACCGTTCTGAGACTGAAAAACCAGTTAGTAAATCAATTTATGAAAGGGAATTCAAGAAAACAAAATTAAAATTTAAGTTGAGAAAAGCGGACACTTGTCATAAATGTGATGTTTTTAAAATGAAGATTGAAATGGAAACTAATGATGAAAACAAAAAAAAATTGATTGAAGATCGTGATCACCATGTAAAAAATGCTGATGATGCATATAATACTAAAAAAATTGACAAAGATAAATCTAAATTAGACCCTACAATCCTTTGTCTAACTTTTGATTTACAACAATGCTTGCCAACCCCATTTCTTGAAACGTCTGTTGCTTTTTATAAAAGATTGTATTGGACTTATAATCTTTCTACACATAATCTGGCTACTGGTCAGGCATCTTGTTACTTGTGGCACGAAACAATTGCTCGAAGAGGTGCTAACGAAATAGCATCATGTATTTATAAAGAACTTTCAAATATATCAAATAATGTGAAAACAATAATACTTTATTCAGACTCTTGTGCAGGCCAAAACAAAAATTCATACTTTTCTGCTATGTTTTTTACTATTCTTGAAAAAAAAAAATATATTGAACAAATAAATCACAAGTTTTTAACTCCTGGTCACACTCATATGGAGTGCGACTCAGATCACTCGCTAATAGAAAAACAGAAGAAACATTCCGCACTTCAAATTGCACATCCAAGAGACTGGGCTACACTTATAAGCTGTACAAACAAAAAGAAACCTTTTCTTGTGCATGAAATGGATCAGGAACATTTTTTTAATTTTGAAAAATTATTGAAAGGACCTTTAGTAGTACGCAAAAAAGATGAAAATGGAAATAAATTTGTTTGGCATGATGTTGCCTGGTTGCAATATAGAAGTAGTAACATTGGTACATTATACTACAAAACAAGTTTATCTGAAGATGAACCGTTTAAAATAGTAAATCTAAAAATAAGANTTACTACAAAACAAGTTTATCTGAAGATGAACCGTTTAAAATAGTAAATCTAAAAATAAGAGGCCGTGTAAATAATTTTACATTGCAAAAAATGTATAATTCACCAGTTCCAATATCTAAAGAAAAAAAAGAGATCTACTCCAACTTCTCCCGTTAATACAAAATATTTACCATGATTTTTATAAAAATTTTAATAGTGATTCTACTGAGAAACAAGATTATGATCCAGATCTTGATGAAGATTTGTCTATTGATAATGATGATTAATTTTTT